TGGGCAGAGACAATCATTGACCCATATTCCTTTAAAATTGAGGCCAGCCATAATATTACAGTCAATGGGGAACGGTATAGAGCCATGGTTAATGTCTGAATTGGGGCCTCCGAAATCGTGCGATTCAACACCGCTTAGCTATTTTTTGTGGAGTTATGTGAAATCGCTTGTCTATGCAGATAAGCCCGAAATAATTGACACATTGGAAGAGAATATTCAGTGCGTAATTGTTTACATACGAGCCCAATTGCTGCAAAAAGTGGTCGAAAATTAGACTTCTCGACTGTAATTTATTTGAGATAGCCGCGGCGGTCACTAATCCTAAATCACTTTTAATTCATAATGACAAACTCTTATCTTTTTAATATTAACGCTAAGTTCTTGGCGTTTTATTTCCTCTTGACAACCTTTTCTTAAAAAACACGCTTTATATATAACTCCATACTAAACTCTGTTAGTTTTAGGTGTTACTAAGAAGCGTTAGGTGAACAAAACTATTATACTCTGTGGCAACATGTTTTAGGGATATAAAATTAATAAACATTTGAACTCGAGTCCATAAACTTTTTTTTGGATTGAATGGCTTGTGAAAGCCGAATATTGTGTTAAGAAAATACAGCTCATATCAACAAATTTACAATTTTCATAACTACATATACAAACGCCCACCGATTTGGTATACCATTTATGTAGCTATGTGTGTCATTCAACAAAAAATGGTGCAATCGGAGCCAAACTTTAAATTGTTTGAGGAAACAAATTGAATACATACACATATTATTTCTATATTAATATATATCTATATCTATATGTACCATATTTAACATTTAATTGGCTATGGACCACATATCTCACTAAATATCCTATCATTCGAAGTGACCCGCCCTAATGTAGGGATATAACGTGTACTAATTTTTGATAGGTGCCTGAACTTTCTTGCTAGGCTTGGTAAATTAAAAGATTCCATCGCTCGTCTCGTGTAAAAATTGCATGCCTACCTATGCATACTTACGGTACATATGTATGTAAATAAGTCATGTATGTACTTGTACATACACACCGTACAACACGTTCGCTACCGTTTCTGGCTGACGTGCTTAGCTTCCCAACCTACTCTCGTTATGCCGCAACATGTTTCATAAGGAATAATAGTTTTGAAAATTAAGCATCATTGAAAACATTTGGGCGAAATCGGACTATACATAGGTATAATTAGTAGGAGAACTTTCAGCTAACTAAACGAAAATATATGTAAGTAAATTTGCGACACCTAAATGAAATCAAGTGAGCATAGACAAAAATCAAAGTTAAAGTCTTCAAAGCAATTGTTCGAAAACTATCAAGTCTAATTTAAGCAGGTTTTAACCTCAAATAAATAAATATATGAATGTCGGTGAGAGGACCGAAATGTTGGTTCCAGCCGCATTTAGGCTTTCCTTACTTGTTAAAATTGTTTTTTAGTGCTTTTGATTGATTGGCAGATCAATTGATTAGTTAGCACTGTGGCTGACTGACTGCCTAACCTATTAGCTGACTTTTTGTTTAACCAGTCATATTTGAGAGACAATCAGAGATTGTAGTCACTGTCAGTTGGTTCGTTGTTTGTAACCACTTTGATGAATTGGTGAAACATTATATAATACGTCATGCATCGTTTTGATTTCGACGGACTTTCACAAACTGTTCATACATACAAATATTTATATCACGTAGTAGAAAGAAAAAGCAAAAATTATTTTGAAATATATTATAATAATTTGACTGATTGAACTTGAATGAAGGCACATGTTTCCAAATGGTTATTCGTTTTCGACATATTAAGTTTGTCATGAACTTTGTAACACTTGTCGGTCTGTCCGTCCGATGTTGGCATTAAAAATTAGATTTTCATTACTTAATCCCGATATTGGGATTAAAAATTAAATTTTAATTTTTTATTCAAGATCTTTAGGATTAAAAATTGAAAATAGAAAATATTATTTTTTGATTTGAATGAACGCGAAAAATATTAATTCTAAAACAAATTCCTTTTTTAATTCTTAATTATATGCTTGAGATAAAAATTTTTCTTTGTACATGCATTATTTGCAACCCTGCTTGTATGGAAAACTTTTTCATTTGATGATATCTTCAGGAAATTTGGCATGGGTCATTGTCTACGCCAATGGTGTAATCTCCGATGAAATTGTTCAGATCCGAGTAGTATGGCATACAGATCCCATAGAAACTGAACAATCGGAAACAAGTTCGTGTAAGAAACCTTTTGTATTTGTGAAGGGTATTATAGTTTCGGTGTACCGGAAGTTAACATTTTTTCTTGTTTTTACTTATCATGAGTTTTGTTTTTGGTTATTCTCTTATAGCTTGGATTGGTTTGTTTCCGATTGAAAGGTAACGACAAGCTGAATGAAAAGCTACTCAGCGCCATTAATGAATCAGGTAAACTGCATATGGTTCCTGCTAGTGTCAACGATAAATACATTATACGATTTTGTGCGGTGGCACAAAATGCCTGTGAAGACGACATCGACTATGCCTGGGAAACCATAGTTGATTTTGCCAATGAACTGCTCGAAAAGGAACAACACGACGAACTAACGGAGATAATTAATCGAAAGAAAGAAGACACATTGGCTAAGAAACGCTCATTCTTCGTACGAATGGTCAGTGATCCGAAAATCTACAACCCGGCTATCAATAAAGCAGGTACGCCAAATATGTCCATAGATGTTACATCGCCGGTAGTAGGACACTCTTCAAATCCTATTATAAGAACACAAACGTCGATGGATAGGAATTCTTGGATTTCTTGGCCCTTAGCTTTTCTCTTCAACAGTAACAATGATGATGGAGGGCAGAAGAGCAATGTTTCATTGCGGTAAGTAAAGTTTTCTATTGTGTGTCAAGTAAATGTTATAAGTAAAGAAAAGCTAAATAATATTTTTTTATTTTTCTCTCTCTTTAATTTAGTTTTCGTCATTTAGACACAAATGTACGTGCAATTTCGTCGAGACGCAATTCCGGTGCTACATCGTCGCCATCACCTGACAATGAGTTGGGCTTTGTTAATCTGAAGAAGTCACCAATTAAGGCAACTACACCATCGCCAAGAAAAGTCGGCCTTTCACTAACCACAACTAGCAATCACTCCTAAAAATATTCCCACCTTGAACGTTGTCTTAAGATTAGCTAAAAGAAAGTTTCCATTGTGCTCACGAAATTGTCTACTTATTCCAATACAAAGTTGAATACTTAAAATCTTTAAATATATTTGCTTATATCAGGACTGCGATGCATGCATATTAGTGTTATAACATTTAAATAAATTGGATCTTATTGCCAGTGCAAAAATAATTTATGTATATATTATTTAATGAAAGAAATATTGATCTATGGATGGCATCTGGTTATACATGTATTTAATTAAAACAGGGTTATAACAGTAGACCACTTTAGTGTCGCTATTACCAATATTGCATAACCTTAAAAGGAACAATCAGTCTCTTTTTGAACGATATAACAAAACATTTTCGACACACATTACTTCAGGGCATTGATGTTTCTCCTGTATCTCTGCGATATTTTTCTATTTGGCTTTCTTAGTACATTATGTACAATATTAAGGCATTTAAGCAGCAGCTGTATGACAGGTGAAGTTTTAATCATATGCACGTATATCCACGGCAATTCTTCAAAGATTTACAGGTGGAATGGTCATAACTTTTTGCGTTTCTACTTTTTATATACATATGTATGTATGTATATGTATAAGCAGTTGTGATTTTCGATGAAAATTTATTTGTTTTTATTTTTTGTTTATTCAGCTTCGCAAATAATTGATTATAGAAATATGTAGAATGTAGAAATTCTAAATTAAACAATGTGCTAATTTTAAAATTTACAAATCACACATGAGTAAGTAAATATTCGTTAATTAATATAGTTTGTGGGGGTCTATAAAAAGTTTCAAAAATGTTTTATGGCCTCCGATCTAGTAAATTCGAAGCAAAGATGAGTACCCAGAAGCATTTTGATGATATTTCTCATGCGCTCTATTTGCGCAAATAATAGTGATTTGAATTGTTTACATATACATATTGTTTTAAGGCAATAGACAATACATAGTGAATTTAACAAGTTCATTTCATATCAGAAATGTGTATGCAAAGTCGCCATGTGTGTATTGATGAGTGTAAACAAAATTACCCCCGGGGCCCACACACTTAGCATACATATACGTAAGTATGTACATATGAACATGTGCATTACGTGTTTAGAAAAGGTGTGATCTTCTATTATTTATAGATTTGCTTATACCTATGTTAATATCTTGTAAACTACGATTTATTATTTAAAAGGTTAACGGGTGAAGGAGATGGTAAAAAGAAAAAGCCAAAATGTTTGTTGATACTTCAGTTTTATTTTTATACAGTCGAAAAATATTTGCCAACATGACGAAAACAATTATCCCTGTATGTACATATTCTTGTATAGAATGTGGAGAAGTCCATATATGGACTGTGAACTTGGAAATATTGCAATTACAAAGAACCTTTGTATTTAAAAGCTCAGTCAAATAATTGTAAAAAGCATAAGCTTCACAAATATTTCACTGAGTTAATTCCGGAATTTTCAGTAACACGCCTACTTTTATTGTTATATTTGCTATACACATCGTGAGGTTGACATGTTTGCCTGTCGGTACCTCTTCAAAACGTGTTCAAAAAAGCTGCATTTAACAAAACATTAGATGTCCTCAAGTCGGAATGGTTCAAATTTGTGCCTAAAGGAACACCTTATCGCTTACTAGTTTCTTTAAATTTATCATCATTTATTTCATTACAAAACAATCATGTGATGAGAGCTCTCAAACGCTCACTATTGGGTTTTTCGATTTCTGCGCATACATATGGTATGTATTGGTTGGTAAATGTATTATTACGCTTGCGCGAGGGATGAAGTCGCAGCCTTAGCTATCGAAATGGGGAAAAAACAACATGTGAAAATCGTAAAACTGTTTATTTAAATAAAATGTTAAAACTGAACACCATTTAAATAATTACTGTTTAATATATCAATACGACTACAAAACATTCCCACCTCAAAATAGTAAGCATCGCAATCTACTGCTTGTTAAGCTCACGCTCTTGAACTGTACTCCGCAGAACTTTTTCTAAAACCTGCCTAGTAAATTGCCGATCTAAGTCCAGATTAGTTTTATCTGATATTGCGGATAGATCCCCTAATACGAAGCCATTAATTTTTGTTTGTTTAGCCTCCGTCAATCCGGATTTAACCCTATCGTTGAGGTTCTTTGTATTTAAGCTTGTGCCAGGTGATTTCGACTCGGCGTTTTCGTTTACATGGCTATCTATTGGTGTGTCTTCATTTACGACGAACTCGGAATTTTCACTGTCGGTGGGAGCATCAATTTCTTCCGCGTTGGATTCGAGCACCTTCATTTTAAAACTGGGCATACCCAAATTGCCGAAATCATCGAAATTATCATCTTTGGATATGATATCTTTAGAGGTAGAAGCCAAACTCTTTGAATCTAATTCAGGAAACGAAAAGTCGACATCCTTGAGACTCAAAGGCTTGCTTATATCGTTTTTCACATCAAAATCCGGCCTTCTCATGCTAAAACTTGACTTGGTGAGTTCATTAAAGACATCGTTTTTGGAACTTATTTCATTTTTCTCATTCCCAATTACTTCTTCAATATTTTTTCCTGCTGTAGTTGGCACGATCTCTTTCACATTGTGGTCTTTATAATCTTCATGGATTAATTTATTATTTTCAAGTAGTAAATTTTCGGAGTCTTTAGGCAGTGCTAATTCTTTCAAACTAGAATCACCTTTTATTTCCAACTTTTCGTTCTTAAGGGGATCCTTTGCAGTTGATTCTTGTTCCGCCAAACTATGCACGATCTTATTAACTTCTTCATCTTTCGATTTAAAGTTTTCTAGGTCAGAAAACTGATCATCAGCTTTATTGTTACTTCTGATATCCTTTGTGCTTAACTTTTTTAAATTTAAGTCTCCGAAGTTGAAATCTTGGAATGGAAATTCCTTCAACACCGAATCCTTTTTACCTGTTTCGTCGTCACTGAATTTTTCGGCTGAAAAATCGTTCCTTGTAAGAGTCTGCAATGATATTCCTTTATCACTTAGATCGCTAAATGTTGAAACCTTACTATTTGAATTTAACTCTTTGCCACTATACTCCCTTCGGTGTAAACCTTTACCAACACGTTCTGAATTGGCAGAACTTTTTATACCAGCATATTGACTATTTAAATCATTAACGCTCAAATTGTTCGCATCTGTATTCATGTCTCTATGAGCCAAATATTTCACAAAATAGTTGGCATAATCCGATGAAAGTGCAGGCTTTTTTATCTGCTCATCTTTTGAATTCGCCGATTGGGGCTTTTTAAATATTGATGACAAGCTTTCCTTTAGTCTTTGAAAAAATCCAGGCTTGGATTTTGGCTTAGTTTTAGACTTACATTTCAACTTTGATTTGGACTTGGATTTCGTGGTGACTGTGGACGGCTTTTTAGCACAAGCGTTTGCCATATTATTTTTAAGGCTTCCTAAGTCATCTTCAGATTCTCGGTCTGATTCAGTATCAGAATCAGCATCAGGACGCATATCAACTGAAAATTCTTTGAACAAAATGTCTGAGTCCTGCGGCTGTTGTTGCTGACCACCATATGTAATAATGGCTCGATTGGAGTTGGCATCTTCAACGGAGTTGATTGAACCTGGCTCAGCTGAGCTTAATACACTGGAAGAAGCTGAGAAGGTGTTAGGAAGTTCTTCCATATTCTCATCAGCTTTCTCGCCGAATTCGTCAATGTTATGTTCACTGATTTTCACTCCCCGTAATTCGTTTAGCTTTTGCTCCAATAGATTTTCATTTCCTGGAGGCAGATAACCACGTTTTTCTAAGTAATAAAGCGGTGATTGCCAACTATCACGTAGATCGGTGAGTAGTCCAGTCCAATCGACTGTCTCTTTGGGATCATTTTCAATTGTATCTCCACACTGCGACAGCGACTCAGAAGCTTGAAATGCGAAGCATCGAAGTGTAATTATGAAGCCACAAAAAAGCCTAAAATTTGGTCGTATTTTTTATTACCATTAAACCTTTACTTGTTGAGTATCGAAAGACAATACAATCACCATTTCAGCAGGAATATTTGCTGCATCGCAGCATTCACGTATCCAGATTTGTAAACAATTCAAAAATACATATGTATTGACATAAGTAAATAATAATTGTTTTGACGCCTCTAAATTTGAATATTCGATTTTTTTTTTTGGAATTCGGTATTGGAATTACCTTAAATTTCGAACTAAATATGGTAAAACCAAAGGAAATGAACAGGAAAGCAATTTATTAACACTGGATATAAAAAATGTATAATATAAAATAAAAAAGATAACTAAATAAATCGATACAATCGAAAACAAGTAACAACTTAGAAATCAAATAAAAACGAATACATTGAAATAGTTTCAAGAAAAAGTAAAAATACCGTGGCAAATGCGAGTAAAGAATCCATAAAAAAGGGAAGTATTATAATATATTAAGTTGACTTTCTGCCCAATTAATATGGATTAAAAATGTATCAATATATATTTATCTACATATACTGGTGTGTTCTTATTTGCGAAACTGCCATCGCGGGTATAATTTTAAAACCGACTTTTTAAGAATATCACAAAGAGATTCGGCCGAAACTGAACGAATTTTAAGGTGACTAGTATTTGAAGTATATAAAACATTTTACAAAACAATCCAACATAATTTCACAACAATCCATAACGAATTGATTTTTCAATTCGAAGAGCGTGCGAAAGATAAACAACAAAAAGATACTAACCTCCAAAGAGTTTATGAAATACATGGACACAATAAATGCCAAATAAATGAATGCATGGCTTTGGGACAGACTCACACGTATATAAAATAACAAACCTGTCAGCCTTTGTCCAATAACCAGAAGCAACGGTTTACTAACAGCTAAGCGCACAGGTCCGAATAGTGATATCAAGTGGCTATCACAATAGGCGTGGGGTCACGCGTTCATGCTAGTGATGCACAACTTGAATTATATTCAACGGCAGAGCATCTAAACTTATTTTATCAAGTACATATTTGTGTAATAATTTGTATACACATAGTAAATTGTTTTTTTTTTATGTTATTGAAATCTCTATGAAAAGAAAATTGGATTGGACATGGAATGATATTCAATTAAATCAATGGAGTAGGTACATATGTATATACATTTTTATTGATTCAAATTGTAAAAAAAAATAAAGTATCGATACACTATCCGCACACTAAAATATAGAGACCTTATAAATAAAAAAAACTATCTTATTTAAGAGATTCAAAATCGTACACTGTTGCCAGTTACTTCGTAGCCTTACAGTCATCCGGGATGTCCTAGAGTAAGGAAACTAAACTACACAAACACATATACACGAACTAGTAGCTATCTTTATTTAATTTTTGGATGACTTTTTGACTATTTATGCTACTTTGTGAATTAAATTTACCGAACGACGTCATCGAGGGAACCTCGAGAGCGTCCCATGCGCGAATAATTGCCCGCGCAATTGAGGTAAGGCGATCGATTGAAGTAAAAGGCACAATCCGATATTCGAAATACACATGTGCGCTAGTGTATAATATCATCAATTCACTATCTTACAAACATACATACCTATGTATCTGTTATTTGCGTGATAAATAATTAACCTGCATATGTATGCCGTGAAAAGCGGTACAGAAATCGACATAGCACACGGCATTGAGCTTGAAACAAAAAGCCGCTCCGCAATGCACAGTATGAGACAAAAACAACAAACATAATGTGGAAAATAAAAGAGGACAAATTCCGAATGACAAATGGGCAAATCAGTAGAAATGCCACCCAGTACCGCAGTGAGATTTGTACAGCAGCGTGATAGGGGGTCAATCTCTGGTAACATTGGACAATGGCAGTGAATGGTGGTGATAGCGGTACAAGTGTTGCGTCCGCTAATAATAAAAATATATTTGTGCTGAAAAGGTAGTGACTGTCTTGGTGTCTTTGAGTTTTTTCGTTTTCAGTAAACGCCAATGAGTCATTTTCAATCGTTGGACGTGTTGAAACGATGCGCAGGCACCGACCAAGTGTTACTATGTGCTAGCGGAAGTTCAGAAAGAAATAAACAAAATAAAAAAACACAAATAAAATAAAAAATCTTGCCCACGTTAGTTCACGAATGGTGAATGACTTGTTTTGCAAATCATTCCGCGATCATTTACCAATAGGAAATACCTAAAGACCAAAGGGGCAGAAAGTAATGAAAAAATTGCACCGAAATCACTAATAAACCTTTTGCAACGCCTTCCACAACGTTTAAATACGTGGTCATTTGCTCTACATTTTTTCAAAGAAAGTATACAACCATGAATGAGGTATTCAAAAGATTTAAACCTATAAATTGTTTATATACGTATATGTTTTGTATATCCTTCGATCCACTACTGTTGGTCAGAACTCGTCTACTACCAGCATAAAATAGTACCAGTACCCAGTACCCAGTACTAGCAACAACTTACTAATGAAATATTTAGTGTATAATTATTATTCTTGAGAATCAGATATTGGGTTCTTAAGAATGTCATTAATATATAATAATATAGATATAAGCTTGAAGTTCCCCAGCTTGGCAAACATTCCTCATTCATCATTCTATTTAAATCAATTAATAATATCGTAAGTTCCGAATAGATTATTATTATAAATTAATGCACTAGACACTTCGATCGAAACTGAACTCAATAGACATAATAACAACTATGTTATGTGTTTCATTTTGCAAATACAGTTACAATTCTACTATTATTATTAGCCAAAACTAGTCCAGAGGAAACAGCAGCACAACAAACGTGCAATTGAACGCGTGCCCCGGTAAATACTTTAATTTTTAATTGTGCTATGAGAGCGTTTAGCCATGTTTCCTACGAATTTGAGCAACTCACTTGACAACCTGTTGCAATCTACAAACGCAAAGATGGCAGGTGTGACGTAGAAGAGCGCTATGAACGCAAAGTTTTTCTTAGATACGTGACGCATCCTACAAAAATATCTACAGAAGTCAAATATAAATGTGTAAATAAATATGAAACTTACGGTATACGCATTTCTGTTTCTAAAGCGATCCTCTTTGGAGCTAACTATGTATAATGAATATTTTTTAGCGAACTGCGGCTAACAATAAATGACAAACAAATAATGGACGCGAATTTCGAATTACTTAAGCAAATAATTGAGGATTACGATATGAACGTATAATATTGCAAAGTTTGTATAACGTCAGCTCAGCTCAGCTGGGTATCACTTTGAGCGCTTTGGCCGTGATTCCCCAGTAATTCTCCGTTGAGTTTTTTTCAAAACTCAATTATCCAAACGCTTTGTGGGACTGGCGGAAGATGAAAAGAGATCTGCCCCCATCAACTGCAATTGTCGTTCGTTACATACATAAATACATATATTGGAGGGAAAATACGAATCTTCGAATTGCGAAAATTAATATCAGTGTGTACATACATTCTTTTTAAGCATGTCACCTAATACTCTCTAAAAAATAACAAATGCCTAAATTCTTAATGTAATACAGTGACAATAGCTATGGGTAATATTCCATTTTCGAGGTAGAATAATTACACCAGGTTAGGTTGATAGTGATCAGATTGCTTGAAATGGCTTGACGTTTTGACTTCATATCTGCCAGTTTGATCCAAAGTGTGGATTACAGATCAATAATATAAGTCATTGAGCTTAAGGACTATGCAATTTTATTTGACATTAAATTCTCATTCTTTGGAAATCGTATCAGGTTCTGCGATCCATACCTCGCAGTACTTTTGAGTTTGGTACGACCAGTCTTTGAATTTTAAAGTTTTATGTAATTTATTTGTATGAAGAACATTCGATTTTTATTTTTATATTTTTTATGACTATTATCTGGTGCTTCAACATTTAAAAAATTTTGTAACTCTATAGGTAAGTTCCGCGAGAGAATTCGTTACAATCTACAATGATTCCAGCACTAACATAAAATACAAAAACATTAGTACATAGAATCGACATTTACTTTTATTTTACGAGTTTTAGTAGCAAAGCAAGTTAAATTACAAAGTTTAACCAACCGATCCGTTTAATGATTGTACAGCTTTGATAGTCACCAATCGGCTTCGAATAGTTAAGCAAAATAAATCAAGTCAAGTTGGACTAAAGTCTATTATTTTTTGTTAGCAAATCAAACAGTTAGGAGGATTTTGTAACTCCTAGCAAGCAATTCGTTAAGAAAGACAAACGTATTCTTATATAAATAAGATAAGACAAAACAAGACTTCGTTGCAGTGAAAAACGCTGTCTAATGTTGAAGAAAACAATATGCATATGCCATATACAAATTTTGTGAATTAAACACCGATGGAACGGTGTAACGAAAAAAATCCATATACAAACATATGTACATAGCACATTGTAATTATACAGGAATGATTCGAATATATCAAAACAGCAGCACATTTTAGCATTTTCACTTATTATTCACCGTCATTTTGGTCAATATTTCTATAGCAACATCTACTATTGGGATGATTCGACTCAATTCTAATAACTTTTTTATACATATAAATTCATTACACAATAATGGAAAATGGCATTTATTTCACAAGTTCGATAGACTATGTAATTACTTGTAAACATGCTTCTAATGGAAGAGCAAGCGAGATTTTATTATACTTGTAGCAAATGAATACTTGAGTAGGTAAAAACAGCGAAATAATACTTATACTATGTAACTACCCAGTTCGAATTAGGTTATTAAATAAACTTAATTACCTATTAAATACATTGGGGATTTTTTATGCTAAATTTAAACGCGTGCTTCATGATAAAAACGATTTAAAATGTATGGAACTATACCAAGAAAATTTTTGCAAGTCATTTTATTCGTTGAATATTATAAAAATGATCAAATGAATTTTCAAAGGTATATCATACCATAACAGGTACACAATTTAAAATATATCTGAGTTATGTTAGGATAAGTTGGAAAATACGTAACTATTAACTCTGCATTAATACATATATTGCAGAACTAGTGTCCGGAAAGGTTAGCCTGTAAAATATTATATAATCTTTTAAACTACAAGTATTGTTTATGTTACAAAGAATACTTAATTTAAATGTACTAAAAATATGATTACTCACATATATAGAATTTAGAAACAAAACAAATCTTCTAATAAGTCTCTAAGTCTCTAACTAAGTACTGTATAATATCCCACTCAAAATATTGTATTAGTTTGTGTGTTTTTTACCAAACAATTTGAAAAGTACTATATTTCACAACTTTTGTTAGAAAACAAAAACCTATTTTACAATGTGCATGTACATAATATATTTGATTACGATTAATTAAGTGAGTACACAACAGTTTGCGACGAACCGTCAATATTTTGCGCATAGAACATCAACGCTAAACGTCATGAACGGTAACAGTTTAACAACTTTTCATTTGAATAATAAATATATTTATAACCACGATATATGTTTATACGTTAAATATTCAATTTTCAATTGGTGCGAAAATTCACAACGTTCAATTTCATTCATTCATCTTTTTCCCATTCAACTGATACACCAGGCAACAAGTTTGAAATTTAGAACGAAATCGGCATTTACTTGTCTCCACATTATGTGATTAATATCAATAGCCAGCATAGCGTTAAAAACCTAATAGGTAATGCAGACGAAATCTGTCGCTACCTAAGTATTGCAAATTAGTCCAACGTGTTCTTCGATAAATATATCAGAAATGTGGTTGATCATTACCTACTGGAATTACGTTCAATCTAAACGGTTCTAAAGTAGCCAATTATTTCATAATTATAAGGTACATAATATACAAATATAAATATGATCACATATATACTTTTTAATGATTATTTTAACAAAATTATTTTATTATATTTTGTATTTTTCCCATATTTATATAATTGAAATTTGTCTATTTAATTGGGGGTTTCCTTGTTGGGTATTTAGTCGTATTACATGTATGTTGATGTTGCGTTCCAAATGATCAATGATCACGCGCTCGTGCTGCCCCCGCCTAAAGCGGCTACATTGAGGAGGTGACGATCGATCGAGTTAAGAGCAATAAAGAAATGC